GCAGCCGGAGCCGCTCCGGTTCCCGCCGCCGTGCCGGCCGGCCGGGCTCGCTTCGCCGTGACTTCCAAAGTGCTTGGGCTCTCCGGGAGAGGAGTCACGTCCCGGTGCCGCCCTGGGTCTCAAGCCATCGGGTGGGGGCAGTTGCAATCCCCGGGCTGTGATCTATTTCTCCCCAGCGGTAGGGCAGCCAAGGCGGAGCTGCGTTAAAATACTTCGTGCTGAGCACGTAGAGCTTTAAATGGGTGTCGGTGACCTTCTAAATATAACGTAAACCTTGCTATAGCTGACGGTGCATTCGATCTGTACAGCCAGTTTAGTTTGCTATAGGTAAAAGCTAACCGTAGTCCCTGCTAGTTAGTGGTTTGGGGGTTTTTTTGGATGTCTGAGTTTGAAAACCCTGGTGGACATTTGCTTGAGAAGGCTGTGGGTTGGTTAAAGGTCCCTAACCCTTTAGCCCCCAGCCTTAATCTGTAGTCTGTTTGTACCGGGAATGCTCAGTATAATGGTGACAAAAGAGTTGCTGATATAATTTTCCCTTCCTTTAGTTTACAATGGATTTTGGATAAACAAGATCTATTGAAGGAGCGCCAGAAAGACTTGAAATTTCTGACCGAAGAAGAATATTGGAAGCTACAGATATTTTTTACTAATGGTAAAACTGTTTTATTTTTATTTGTGCTGCAAAATCTGTAGAGTATCTGCCGAGTCTAAATGCAAGTTTGAATTGCTTAGAGAATGTATCAGTTCCGTTGTAGTATTACATATACTTTCGCAACCTATTTTAACAGAGAACTGGAATGTCAATAACCTTCTAATTTGCTAGTTGTATTAACACAATTTTAGGAGAACTTACAGGCAAATGAGCTGAATCTATAATGTTTTAACCTGTAATGGGACAAAACATAGTACATTTTCTTATTTTCGAGACGTTCTTACCAAAAAGATAAAAGGAGGAGAAGCCAGCAGAAACTGCTAAGCTAGCGTATTAAAGGCTCAGTGTCAAGCATTAATACTCAAACTGGGCTTTTGGTGGGTCCTTACGCTGTGGTAGGTATTTTAGCTGATCTGTGCAGTCCTGTTAAACAGCAAATTTGGGAAATTTGTTGTTTGTGTTCAGTTACGTTCTTTGAAACCTGCACCACAGCCTGTGTCCTGCCTTGTGACTGATTCCCCAGCACTGGGTGGGTGGCTCTCAAATTGTCTACAAGTATCTGAGAGCTGTTGGCAGGCAGCCTGTTCTCCCAGAGAGTTTGGGCCTTGTCTCTGAAGTTATCTAAGGACTTCCTTGATACTGCAAAGCATTTAACCATATGAATTGGAGCATATCAGATTACGCAGGCACTTAAACTCTTTTCTGTGCAATTGTTCAGCATTTAAAAAAAAAAAATCCCCCGAAGTAAAAGATGTTGCTAAGTAGTAATTTGTTTGCAGACAGCTCTTTAAATATTTTTCACAGCAGTCTTTTAAAGTACAGAATGCTTATTTTTTCAGCTACCCGGCCAGACTTGAGACAGAGAAGTTGAGTGACCTTCCCAAGGCCACTGAAAGATCTTGTGTCAGTGATGGAATGGTATCTATGAAAGATACTTATCCCAGCTTCTCTCTTAGCTTAGCTATTTTTATAATAATTGCGTACGCTGCAAATTTGATTGCTGTGGATACATCTATGTTATCACTTATACGGCACCAGGAAAGCAAGCTAGCAATGATTTACCTGTTTGATCAATTCCTGAAATTCCTTGAAGTTAAAACAAAGTGTCATAGCTTCATAACACAAAAAGGGAAAACAGGGTACTGATATTTCTACAACTGTATTTCTATGCTAATTTTCACTAGTGTTAATTTGAATTATCACATATGCTTTTTAAAATGTTTCACTTCAGTATTTTTCCTGAGTAAACAAAGACTTAGAAAGTAGACAAGGTGGTTTCAGTTTTTGGTTCTCGGGCACCTTCATGGGGAGGACGGTCCTGGTGCTGATCCGTACTGGTGGGAGCTCAAGCAGAGCTTGCCATGTTCCAGCCCTTGGTATGTGTTGTATCGTCACCTGCCTCTGCATAGGGACCCTGCTTTGGGTTTATAGAGCCTCCCCCTCTTCTCTCCCACCTCCTGCATTACCTGCGTAGGGATGTGAGTCTTGGCCACGGTTTGTCACATTCAGCGTGTGTCTGCCCAGGAAATTGGTGTTCCCTAAAGCGACCAACAAACTGCCTGGAGAGAGGCAGTTTCTTGCTGTCTCCTTGTTGGAAAACAAGTGCAATAGATCGCCAACCGGTTCTGTAGCCATGCGCAACTACTCTAATACCGTAGAGAAGGAAAATGATCATTTTCTAAAATAATTCGAAGAAGGAAATGGACGTTGATTTCTCTCTTTGGATCACCAAGTCTTAATAGAGTTTTTGGTTGAAAAGTGCATTAATTGATTTCCCTTTCTGGTTTAGGGCAGAAGTTGTCATGTTTGTGTTACAGGCTACTCACAATATTCAGATTTAAAAAAATTTAAAGGAAAACCCACTGAAACCACTTATTTTATAAACAGAAGGGAATAAATAATCCAATAGTTTCTTTAAAAATATGTAAAAAATTAATTACAAGTATTGGACTTGTTCCCAGCGTATACAAGCTTCCATTTCATTAAGTCTCTCTAGGCTCTTGTCCATTTTTTTCCCTAAACCACACTTGATTTTTCTCTGACAGCAGATGGCCTAACCGTTCCTGAAAATCCCATGGGAGTAAGAAACATATTTGGAGAATTCTGTTTGGTTTAATATTTGAATTTTTCTGATGCCCTAGTAGTAAGACAGCTTTGTAGCCCCATGTTCAAATCAAAGGGAAAAATCCTTTCAAACCTCTCAAGATATGCTGGTAAATATTTTAATATTTGTACGGACATTGCATACCAGGCTTAACCTCCTTTCTGGCAGTATTGCTTGTCCTCCTGTCACTGGCAAGCTAGTCTCAATTTGGCATTCTTCTCTTTAGGAAAAGAGTGATATGACATGGACAGGGACTTAGTGTTGCTTTGGGTAATCATAGTGGGGAACGAATTAGTTACCTTTTCCTGGGGGTGGGGAGGAAAGCTGCTAATCATCAGTGCTGGTCAGGGTGGTTTTCTCCTGTTCTCCTATGTTCAGCCCTTTTCTAGCCAACCATGTCCTTGAGATTTGTGTATTTTAAAACGCTGTGATGTTCATTAGAAGTGAGAATAGGGTGTACCCTGACTATTCCCAAGGGATACAGGGCAAGAGCATGGAGAAAAAAAATCTGGACTTGCATGCTTAAGTAGAGACTAAGAATTTAGCGGTGACTGATAACAGAATTGTTTGCTTTTCACATCAGTGGTCGCAGTCTTCATCTTGCTGTAGATATTTAAAATACATACTTAAGTGCATTTTAAGTTATTGTTTCGGGCATTTCTGGTGAGGGAGGGGAAAAAAGAAGAGGGAGCCTTAACACAGCCGAGCTTTGCTCCGAATAATGGTCCGCAAAGAAGTATGGGAAAAAATAACAAGTAACAACCTTATGTTTTGCTGTGCTATTCTCTATAACCAACCCCTGCTCTTAATCCCAGCTTGATGCATCTAATTTGCTTGGCACCTTTCCTTTGCCTGGGAGGCCAAACAAGAGCTACCTGCACAGATGACACCAGGGTTGTTTCTTGGCCAACTGGCAGAGGACCACCATGATGGAGCAGCTGACTGCATCCTCTGGTCTCCCACCCCCTCTCCCTGGACTAAATATGTCATTTTTTTAACACCTGCTGCCTCTGCCAAATTTAATGACCACGTTTGTGTTGGCAGCTTTAGTTGTTTGAAAAAAAAAAAACAAACAACAAACCCCATCCATTTTACATGGCACTGGAAAGCCATAGACTTACATTTTAAGTGTTTGGATTTGTTTTGCCCTAAAATGGAATATCCAAGCTTTACCCTTCTGAGATTTGTGTTGTCGTCTTCTTAAAGGTCATACTCACTTTGTACACAATGAAGTCAAGTTACCTTTCCCTTTTTGAAGGTGTCCGCAAGCTTCAGGATGCAGTGCTTCTTCTTCACCTGCAGGTCTGTAGGTTTACAGCAAGACGTTGTCTCACCAGAACAACTTATCTGAACCGAGGGAGAAGTCTGTGCTGCTGCTCCTTAGAATCCCCAGCACTAGTCCTGTTTAGAGATCCTTTGCTATTTGGTGTCAAATTGTTATAAAAACTCAACTCAAGCTTTTGTTCGTTTTTCTTTTTTTAAGTTATCCAGGCTTTAGGTGAACATCTTAAATTAAGACAACAAGTTATTGCCACTGCTACAGTCTACTTCAAGAGATTCTATGCCAGGTAGGACTGTTTACTATGATGGTACAAGAATAAAACATTTGCTAGGCACATTTTGGTAGCCCTTTTAAAATGCAGTTCTGTATTAAAAACAGTGCCACTTTTGTTTTCTGGATGGTGTAAAGCTTTTATGCTAATAAAGTTAACTTAAGCTTTGCTTTTTCAAAAGGAAGTGTGGTGCTCTTAATAGATTAATCGTTCTACGTGTATGAAACAACATATTATAATTTTGTTGTAACATTTCAGATATTCCCTAAAAAGTATAGATCCAGTATTAATGGCTCCTACGTGTGTGTTTTTGGCATCCAAAGTAGAGGTATGAAGTATTACAATTTTTTAATGTAAAATTATGTGATGTATGAGAGAGAAAACGTTTAGGACTTTTAAATTTTTTGTCATTCTTCATGCTTTGGGGGTTGAAACCTTCTCTTTTTTTGTGTAGATTTCTGTAGCGTTTAAGAAAAGGAGACAGAGAAGGCCTTCAAACATGTTATTTAATATTTGATCTTTCACAATTTTGTCTCAATTACTAACCCCGAAGGGCCTCTGAAAATTTGAAAGAGTATTTTAAATGTCTCTTTCACTGTGGTACAGTGTTTACATATTCACATACACTATATTTAAATTGTGCAGTGTCTCCTTTCTGGTGTGTTTTTTTCCTTATTTATGTTCACTCAAACTTTAAGACATAATTTGAAATTTTTTCCTAATTATCCTTTTCCCTTTCATATAGTGAGGGATCCTTGGAGTTTACCACACTTTCATTACTTGATTTAAAAGTATGTTGTAGCTCATACGCTGTCTTTGAGAAATTATCGTAAGGAACTGCCCCATTAGGGATAGCGGTGAGAAGGTTCCATGCCTCCACCATTAGAAGTCCACCTTGAATGTGGCCAAGAGTTAGCATCAGCTGCGCGCTGCTCTTAGTCCTCTGTAATGCAAGAAGTTTTTCAGCTGTTTGAGAAGTGTCTGCGTAATGGGGGAAAAAAAAAAAATCAAATTGGCCAATTTGTGATCTGTCGGCACTAACGAATTTTACAGGAAGAACTCAAATACCTAGTGGATGGTAGAAGCAGTCCTACTAAACCAGTGTCTGCATGTGATACTGTTGTCTGTACAAATACACTGTGATACCTTTCAGTGTTTGGAAGAGATGAAGGAGAGGAGAAAGACGCAGAGTATTGGAGAGAGTTGGGTTTTTTTTTATCAGCCTGTTAATTAAGTCTTTAAGAAAGTACAGACACAGAATGTGTATATACAGATGTACCTTATATTTTAGAACAAATACTAGAAGTCTGTGCAGCCTTCCTTATGCTAACGCTTCTGCAACTTTAGAGGGCAGCTATAGCAGTAATGATTCAGCTGTGCCCTTCTCTGAAAGCACACTGTATACAGAAAATTTTCAGCTTGCTGACTGTCTCAGCAGAGGAGCTAAGGCTTCATAGAAAGGTAAAAAAAAAAGGTAGTTAATGACAGGTTTCTAAAGGCAGTTTTCTCACCAAGTGTGTTAAGGAAAGCCAACATACCTTCTTGAAGCCCTCTTGTCTATTTTATATGTAGAGTGTTAGCCAACCGAGCTTTTGTGGCTTTAGTCCCTTTCATATATGTTTACTATTCCTCACAACTCAAACAACAAAGTAACTAATCAATGAGAAAACTCTTTACCTAAGGGTTTACCCTGTTTACCTTAAGGAAAAAAAAAAAAGTAAAAGGGGTGGGGGGGGGAAAGAAATATTGCATAAAGAAACCCAGTTTAGTAAGAAGCCGTTATTTTAATTTGATAACAGTGTGAATATATGGTATTTCAGGTGGTTCACCTCATTTACCATTCTTTTTCTTCAGGAATTTGGTGTTGTTTCAAATACAAGGTTGATTTCTGCTGCTACTTCTGTATGTAAGTATCGGTGATTTTCATTATACTGTAGTTAGGTATCTCTGTAGGGACATCAGACATGTTCTTTGTGGGTTTTATTTTGTTTGCCTGTTTTTAAAAGGTAGCTTTTTATCAAGTCATGGAGGGGCTTGCATGTTGACTGCTAGGAGCCGGTTAAAGCCATTTAGGACAAATAACTCCTGTTTCTAAATACAGAAGCAGAAGGGTCCTTTCTGTATTAGATTTGGTTGATTCTGGTTGGAACTTTTGCCAAGCATAAATAAAAATAAAGTAATAAAATGAAACTGTTGAGGTTTATGAACAGTCTCGATTAGTAAATTGAATTCTGAACTACTGAAAGACAGAATTGGAAACTTAGGGCTTTATCTGTCTGTTTTGTAAAAGGCATGGCTCCAGGGAAGTACCTGTGTTCAGAATTTTTGGTAGGCTGTATACCTTGTAATTTTTTTAAAATCCTTTTTTCCCCCATCATAAAATTAGTCTTCGGACATGATATTTATTTCTGAAAATACACTTTATAACCTGTATATTGTTCACAAATAAATGCAATAAAATCACACTGGAGTTAATTCTCTGTCTTTCCCGCTTGCCGTATATTTCCCAATTCCTGTAACTTGTATCTCATCCATCAAGGTCTTAAAGTGATGGCTTCCTTAACTGAATGCTATGATTTGACCCAGAAGGTCCAGCTGCTCTCAATAGGCAATTCCTGGCTCTGCTTTTCAAAATGTAGGTCACCGCTTTCAAAATCCCTCTTAGCCGTTGAGGGGACAGGTGACTGGCTGCATCTGTAGCCCCCACATGCAGTAAGTGTATCAGTCCATGGGGCTGGCCCCGTGACAGTTCCACCACCAGGAACTGAAACGCATCTTCAGTGCCAGCGTGACCAAGACCAGTACTGGATTTAGCAATAAGAGTTGCTATTTTTACATCAGTAGCATCTCAAAGCACAGATCTATGTGGCAGTTTTGATGAGAAAGTTAGATGGATTTTTGGTAAATATGCAGTTGCTGATTTTACTTGGACTTCTGGTCCTGAGCTGTGCTGTTTCTGAAAATCTCAAGTCTTGGAATCCTGCAGAAGATTTCCTATGCTGCTCTTCCTTCAGACCTAGAAGCCCTGCCTGCTCTGATAAGTACTCTGCATTTCATGGAAGTGGGGACAAAAAGCAACAGGCTTTCTCCTAGCGTTTGTGTCTTTTATTCTACCTGGTCATCCTTTACCAGGGTTGCTTTGGTAGTATGCGGCAATTTTTTTGGAGGTCTTCATACAAAAGGCGAAAAAAAGATGAGGCGAGACAAGGAGAGGAAAGCTAACAAAAGGGGTGCCTAGCATAATAGTGGTCAGTTGAAAAGGTTTGCTTGCTTTTAGTTAGGTAGAAACATAAAGTTAGTAACACATGCTTCCTTTGTAAGGAGGATAATCTCAGAGTGGTTTCTGGCAACCTCTTCAAAAGCTTTTCACTCTGTTTCCACAGCTGACTAAAAGGACAGCTCCATATGGTCATGTCTGCAACTTGCTTTGTGGGAAAATTGTTTTGTTTCCCTATCATCCTTCTCAAAGTGGTTTATTTTTTTTACTGTGTATCTCTTCAGTTTGAATGCTTCTTGAGAAACCTGTTTTATTCATTCTTGTCTTTCTTGAAATAACTAAATTTTCCAACCAGTAGCCTAGTCTTCATTGTCCTACAGCAAATTTTCTAGCAAAGTCCACCATAGGTCTAGATGTTGAAGTCTTTAGTCCAGAGCATTGACACTATCAAAATGAATGGTGTACTGATTTTCTGGAAGTAGTATCAATTCATAATATACCGTCTGTCATTAATATAAGGAATATTGTCCACTTCCAGGGTGTTAAATGTTACCTGTTTTCTCTGGAGGACAGGGACTTAAAAGAGATTTTAAAATGTTTCACTTGTACAAATCTCAAATCCACATCCTCAGGTGCACTTAATTTTTTCGTTGCTCCGCATTCTAGTATGAGATTGCTCTAGTTTTGCAGTTGAACATAATTCTTACCAGTGCACTGTTTGTACCTGTTCCCCGTGTAAAATGCATGAGGATAACCAGGTATTGAAATCAGGGATCACCATGAGCTAGAAAACTGAGGATATATTTCAACAGTCTCTTGGAGGCCAGTGTCTGGAATTGTATCATATGCCTAAGCAGATGCTTAAGGTGTCTCTCTCAAAGAGAGAAACACCCTTGAAATGTCTGATAATCCAGCGCCTAGGACATTGATCTGCAGCGTGGTGAATTGACTTCTTGCTTTGAATTTGAGCCTGTTTTTTGCACATCCAAAATCTTTACATTGTGAACATACAAGATCTCTTGGCTCAGCTTCCTTGCCCTGCCCTTGGTCTTGCTTTTCATTACGCAGTTCTAAAATCTTGCATGTTGAAGGATCAAGCCTATGTAAAAAATCCCAAATGAAAATTCCATTTTGATTTAGTGTTGGAACTGAGATTCTGAAGAGGTCACCAGATTTGGAGTGACATCAGTAGGTAGATAGCTCTGTGAATGATAACTTGGGGAGAGTGAGGTGCTCATAAGCTAGTTGGTGGTTAACCAGAAGGTGTAATAGTGCCCAAAGCAGCTGACAAGTGTCTGGCTGAGTACCTGTGCAAATCTGGGTTTCAGGTGTATTTCTCTT